TTATGCTGATGATAACGCCTTACTTGGTGACAATCCTCAGGGTATGCAACTCATTCTGGATCGTTTGGCGGTTGAAGCATCTAAGTATGGCATGAGCTCTGCCCCATCGAAGTGTAAAGTACTGCTCAAGGATTGGCTTTCACCTGCACCCGTGCTCACTCTCCAAGGTGCACAACTTGAACAGGTAGGTAGTTTCGTCTACCTTGGGAGCTGTGTTTCTGCTGACGGCACTATCAACAAAGAAGTTTCGCTTCGTATCGCTAAAGCTCGATCAGCATTTATCAATCTGAGGCACTTGTGACGTCGTCGTGACGTCTCATTCTCACTAAAGGGCCGCATTTACAGCGCATCAGTTCGCTCAGTATTGTTGTATGGGAGCGAGTCCTGGCCGATTCGCGTAAAAGACATGCGTCGTCTTTCTGCCTTCGATAACGGTTGCTTAAGGAGGATCGCTCGTGTTTGGTGGAAACATCGAGTTAATAGTAATGACGTTCGACGTCGCATTTTGGGGAATGCAAGTATTCCCTTCAACAAACTGGTTTTGTTGCGCCAGTTAAGATGGCTCGGTCATGTCATACGCATGGCACCTGAGCGTCTACCGCGTCGCGCTCTATTCGCTCGTCAAGGACCTGGCTGAAAGCGACCGCGTGGTGGTCAGCCTTCCAGTTGGCGGCAGCACATGAAATCGCTGACGTCGCGTCTAGCCGCTGTTGGACCCGTACGACTTCCAGGATGGGAACCCAAAGATGAGGAGTGCCAATGGCTTAGGACTCTTGAAGACATGGCCCGCAACCGGAATCAGTGGAAGAATTGTGTACAGTGGTGTATTGATTCACATGTTTAATACTACCAACATTGAAAATGATAAAAAAGAGAAAAATCGGCGTGTGACAAACAAACTAAAAATGTTTTGTTCTGTATTTTTGTCAAAATGTTCCATTTTCTTGCGGCATATTAGCTGAAGTGTGTTGCCCACCTTCAACTAGCATGCCACGATGATTACGACGCAATGACTGTCTCTTATCCACTGATTTCCATGGTTTTTATTGGCTCTATGTCTACTTACTAGACTGTTGAGATTACATACATATGTCAGGATATTGAGGCATATGATAGTGCACGTTGGTTCAGTGTGTTTCGCCAAGAATTCGGCGTAACACTAGTCAAGCGTGTGTTCATTGGCTATTCTGTCACAATATGGAGCCACTCGAGATGAGCGCATCTAGTGAACGGTGTGCCCTAGGTTCTAGTAAACTCATGCCGTGTTTTCCGAATTGAGATCTACGGAGTGTGCGGCAGAATCAATCGCCATAACTAATGCCACCACGAAGGTAGGGGGGTCTATCAAGAAGTCGGGAAAAAAGGACGCAAAAGGGATAATTATAAAGAGGCATACTCGCTAGTTGAGGTTATCAGATGGAAATAACAGATCAAATGCAGCAGTTTCATCCGCTTCGTGCTGACCGTATAGTAGGGAGTGGAGCTCGGGTATTGGTTACGATGATCATCAGTAAGAATTACCCTGGGTACCAAACATTTAGAAGTGTAAAGCAACCGGACTCAACGTGTACTGTATTGAGCTACAGGAAGTTCAGAACAGGTCAGCAAGACCACAGAGCAAAGCAGCGCACGACTTACCATGAAATCGAAAAGCGAAAGGGTTGTACAAACATGAAAACAAGTGGGCGATAAAATGGCCAATAAAAACCGGTGTTGCAAAATACCGAACGCGACTGTTTCACGAACACTACAAGCCATTCGGGTAGTAAAGTAGATCTTGTGTTTTCTAACTGAATAAGTTGCGTTGGCTCGGGCACGTGCTACGTATGCCTGGTCATCGTTTACCTAGGAGGGCCTTGTTTAGTCTGCCAGGTGTAGGGTGGCGCAAGACTCGAGGTGGATAGAACTTGACTTGGCAGCGGGAAATGAAGTCACTGACGACCAAACTGGGTGCCATTGGTCCGTCTCGCCTTCCAGACTGGAGTCCGATGGGACTCGCCTTATGCTTGGCCCGAGAATTTACAGCACATGGCTCGCAACCGATACTAGTGGCGCGTCTGCTGCCGTCTCCTAATCGGATTGCCTGTTTAAAGGGTGTTTGGTGCATAGTTATCTGCGGGGTAATGGCTGATTATGATGCGTGGCAGTGGAAGTCGCAAGGAAGCTGTATCGCTGATGCCGCCTTACCTTTGCACGATAGCCAGCTGTTTGTGACAGTATGTTGTCTACACAAGGTGTAGGCGCCTTGACCCTGAATGTTTGCTTAGGGCATTAAGGTTTTCAGGTAAGTCCCCCTTCTCTCCCTCTTCTTATTCTTTATTTTATAGGTTCTCACGGTTGTATGGCAGCGAAGCATCAGTTCAAATGACTGATATACTGCTGTTGATGATTATGTGTTTTCCAACCAGAAAAGCAGTTTGCATCGGCCCAAATGGAAGTCTGTCTTCTGTTCATCCTGGGTATCCACCCAAGCTCAAGGATGAACGCAAGGTTCAACAGCCAAAACTCCGTACGATGCCTACCGTCAGCGGTAGAACCATCTGAGCGTGAAGAGAATGCCCAATATGATCTCGTCGTGTGTAATCCCATGCATTCTGTTCGTGTAAACATCTATGCAAACAAAATATTAGTACGGCTACAAAACAGAGTTGTCAGTGTGGTTGAAGTTCTCACTACAGCATGGAATTAAAGCTCTGTTCAGATCTGGTAGCACACAGTGAATACGACTTCGTGTTTCACTGAGACGGAGAGCCTCTAAATTCTATTTTTTGCATGGCGTGTCATGAGCAGGTATTTCTAAGCGATAATGTCCATTCTCAAACCTTGTGACAGGCGTTATTGTCAGGAATCTACAACCTTGCACTTGCTAGCAACTGGGAGTCCCGAGATTCGGTCGGTATTGGAGCATGCAACTCATAACCGAGTGGTTCAGAAAATGCTAAGGTGGGCTTGCAATGCTTTCAGAGCAGAAGCATGTAACGCCGGAAAAATCATAGAAGACAGAAAGTACTTGACAGTGCGATCAGTAGCAAAGACAATTGTCTTGCTAGGGGGCCATGCTGTGGCTTCTTCAAGCCAGAAGCAGTCCGTAAGATAGAGAGCACCAAAATGGTAGGAAGAGGATCTCGATTGTTGTTACCCATTTGGAAATGGATCATTATGCTGGGGAGTAAAGTAGAGATGTCGGACCTGATAATCTTAATGGTAGCAGCGACTAAAATGAGGGACATGTGGATTTTCCCGCACGCCGTCCACTCATTACGCAACAGTGAAGAGACGCTGTCGACATTGGCGGGAATTTCCAGCAATTAGATCTACCATGTTCAACTATTTTCATGAGTAATGGCAACAGCGTATCTCCAACGGTGAAGTCTGACTTCGTATCTCAGGGAATACGAGTGTTCCCTTCAACAATATGGGCTTACCGCGACAGTTAAGATGTCTCGGTCACGTCCTGCGTATATCAGATGCGTATTTGTCTTACCGCGTTGTTAGATTGTGCAGGACAAGACTGGAAGAGACCACGCCGTGGACAACCGGCCATCTGGGGACAACATATGAAATCATTGACTTTACATCCTACCGCTGTTGGATCCACACGCCTGCTTGGTTGAAGACATAAGGACGAAGAGTGCCGATGGCACGAAAAAAATTCTGGATATAGCGCGCAATCAAAGCCAGTGGAAGATCAGTGTACATACTAGTTTAGATTCAGATCATTAACACTTGACAATTAACAAATGAAAAAAGGGTTTCGTTCATCTTGCGACACAATGGCAAAAGTGTGTTGCTCATCTTCAACTAATGCGTCACCATGATGGCGCTGTAGTGACTGTGATCCGCTGAATTTCACGGTTTTGTTTCGCTTTACGTCTATGTAGTAGAACACTGATTCTATACTATTGCGCCGCATCATCAGTAGGTCCGTCCGTACACACCCCATATCGAATGTGACCCCGAAGGAATAAGACCGGGAGGGCATGCGGATCGGAGCAACGATTGATTCGGAGCCAGCCCACACGCCTTCAACAGGGGAATATGCATACCAGAAGTATACAAGGTGATGGCTGGCCTGTAGGTCGTTCCACACGGGTTGGAAACCATTCGATGAGTTTGACACTTTAAAGCAGGCTGTGCCCCATATCACATATAGGAACGATTATCTGTCTCCTAGAGCCAATAATTGAATTGGATGTTGTCGACAGGGGTGGGCACCTTGCCAAACATCCACATTATACTCACCCAAACATGCGACAACACCGAGACGAACGTGTGAAGTCCAACGGTAACGAGGATGCGACCAAGTATCACATTTGCCGCTTGGCTTGGGTTAGTTAACAAAAGTAGGGCCACAGTATTGTTGTTGCGTTGGCAATTCGCATTCAACTTGCCGGTTGCCTACTCAATCCCAAATCCCCGCCATAGTGATGACTTACAAGACGAGTTCGGCCAAAAAACATGGTTGGCGGCAGCCGGTTCCGGGTTTGTCTGTCACCGCGGCCTCCAAAGGACAGCCACAGGAGGTCTATGCATACAGAGGGACCATGGGTGTCTTGCGCTGAACCACCCTCAGCTCCATCCATGTCCAGTGTAGGAATAAGATCGAGAGGCATGTGGATGGGAGCGAAGTTTCAATAACGAAGCCGACCCACACTTTCGATATGTACAGCCCCGGCATTCGTGTTTACCCACTTTGGAATCATGCGTGCCAGACGTACACGAATATGCATGCAGGCCAGCACAAGATTTCGGAACAGTTTAGGTAGATGCACGCTATAAAGGGATAGAGTTATGGCTTGCAATCTCATAGATTCTGAGAGAAGGCTTAAAAATACATTTTAAATCCATGAGTATTAGGGTGATGTATAAGTTCAAACAAATTAAGCGAGGCAAATTTGTGTTGATAATTGTTGTTGAAGGTCTCAAGATGCGAACTTATCTTCATTAATTTACCCAAAACATGAGGAAAAAACTAAAACCCACTTTTTCTCTTTCTACAGATGACGTGTATTTCCAGCTGGACCTGTTTGGAGTTTGTAACAAAGAGAAGTTAGAAGAAGACTTCATTCCCAAGTGGCTGGATGGAATTAGCAAAAATGGTGGCCACCCCGGGGTCAGTTGCACTGGCAGTGTGAAGGTATGGAGAGGAGTACATGATGCAGACTATGTGGTTTTGAGCCAATGGCCAAGTGAGGAGAACTTTAAGCAGTGGTACGAAAGCGGTGAGTTTGCGTAACTGTTAGAATGAGACTTTGACATGTGCGCGAGCCTGTAGTCTTAAGGATCATAAGCTTGCCTAGTAATCCGATAGTGAGGGTTCGAACCAGTGTATGAACCGGGAGACCCTCGCAATATCCTTAGCGCACATGCGACTAATGATGGTTGCTCGGCAGCGAAGCATCGATAAAGCGTTCCGGTCTACTGCTCATGATCTGACTCACATCTGACATGTCAGGCGACTGAATCAAACAAAAGAGGATGTTGAAGAATATAACGACTTTCCGAAGCCAAAGATAACACACACAATCGGTCAGATAGGATTCGTGCTTCAGCGAAAATGGTGCAAAACATAATCTTTAGGTTGAGTAAAGAAGAGTCAGAGATGACCATTGCCACGTAGGGAACGTATACCGCTTGTCGGGAACATACAAATTCATTCATTTCCATATAACGGCACTAATAACTTCATGATGTGGCATTTGATGCCCAAAACAGAAAGGCTGCTACTGCGAAGTTTTGTGTCATATATTCGGCCCTATTGGAAGCCGTTAGTTGTGCCCATTCCCTCGGTGACCGCTTGCTGGGGATCGAACCCATGACCGCTAGTGTCTTGCACCACTAACCAGCAGCTTGCACCGTTGAGCCAGGGGGCGAGCGGTAGAGCTGAGCATCATGGGCTGAAAGTTTACTGCCGTATATAATGTCAGGAATTAGTCCAAATCCTTCAAAATGCTGTGTGGATGCACAGTTACTGGGCCAATCACTGTGCTCTGCACGGGCAGTAATCTACATGGCAGTGTAAGATAAGTCGGGCTATATCGAGGTGGCGGACTTGGCCTATGAAACCAGAAGCTACAAGGGCTGTGAGCAACACAACGGAACATTGAATTGCTACGTTCAGTCAGTTTGTAAAAATTCTCAACAGATTACTCCGGCATTCCAACCCAGTAGAACCATGAGTTACAATGGGTAGAAAAGTGACGCTGGACCTGCCCTTCATAATAGTTTTGGCGAGAGAAACCAGCGCGAAATGCGTCTGCGTCTATAATAAAAGACAATGGTCAAAAATGGCAAGGAAGTGGTGATATGTGACGAGTAGTGGAACGCACGCACAGTGTCTGAGTGATCGAATTCGAAATGAAATATAGATACAGGTGACCACAATTGTGAAGAAATAAAGTATTCGCTCACTTGTACTGAGTTGCGTAAATGCCCAGGATACATAAATCCAAACAGCAAAAGTCAACATGACATGATTTATAAATAAACGATCCAAGTGTAACAGGCAACCACTTTTTTAAATAGACGATGTGGAAGCAAAGCGACTGAGTTCAGGAGTGCGTTCGGCGGTTTTCAGTAGCGACGACGACACTGTTACAAGTGGTCAGATCTTTGACTGATTTTGTAGCCAAGCCCACTTAGATAGCGGTGTATAATTGGGATCTGTTGATGCGAGCTCAGACCGCACTGCAATGGCAAGCTAAGGCCGACAAAGAATTGTTTTGGATCCAAAGAACTGGATTCATCTGGTCTATTGACACAGCATCGGTAAAACAAAGGTAATGGGGATTAGAGTGACTCCTTACCACTTTAAATGCCCTGAACGCTGAGTCGAACTCTATACGGTGACACGAGGTCAGGTGTTTCTGTACCGAGGAATCCGACAGCATACGCGAACGCGGGGGTCAGAGGGAGTGGGGATGGTGGGCAACATCATGTTGAATGCATATCGACACATGTTACTTTATTTCACAATTCAAAGTCCTATCAGTTCTGTCTAGGCAAGTGACTGCACAGCCGCACATGAATTGGTATACACCATGTGAATTGACCCCGACAGACTGAGCTTTCTTCATTGGAGGTATGGGAAAATTTCGGGTTCGGCTGATGACTACAAATTGTGCAGCATAGTAGCATCACTGCGTAGAAGAGATTATACACTTAGTAGCCTACAAGGTGTAGACATCATCTCGGTAAGTAACTCAATATAACCCTTCTTCTTGGGTGTCGTGTACGCCAAGTCGTTCGGCCCTCCTAGTTGGCAATGTTGCTGGATAAATCCCCGTCGGCAACTGTTGGTGTGACGTCAGTGCATCGACTAAATAGCCGACGCAGCAGATCCATCTGGTAAGACTAAAGTGTACGCAAATGTCCGCTTGTACCGCCCCGATGCGAAGCTGGTGTTTTGTGCAAGTGCTAACCGTACATCGTAACAAACCCATCCTCACTAAAACTGATGAAAATGCCGATATAGCGGACAGCTTCTGTTCTACTTTGCAGGTGGCCCGTAAGTTGGCATGTGCCCTGTTAAGGTGCCATAACAATTGTGCGAACTGTTGCTCCGGCATGGGTTATTGGTGTGGAGTACGGCGGTATTCTAACATCTGTCAGAAATCACTAGCCCCGGATTCGAATCCCATTTGTATTATTTCTAACCGATGACCATAAAAAGTACCAGGTAGGCAGTAAAATGAAGCATAACGTTCGGACTGACAACATGTAACAAGTGGCCGAATTGAAAGAGTTTCATTCCAAAGTAGACTGTGATTCATGCTGCGAATGCATAGAGCGATGTTCGAAGCAAACAACTGACGACCAGCTCAATCTGATTGATGTCGGTTTCATTTCTATCCAACTGAAAAACCTACCATTTGAGTTCTCCTCATCGTTTGCAACTAGTTGTCTGTTAGCAGGTAAATATGCCACGCCAGACGTGCGTTCCGTAACAATTTCCGAGGAGATTCGTCGCAACTAGACTGTCAGACAGCCAACCAGCAAAGAGTTAGACGTTCGTTTCCGCCCATTGGGACTCGTCAGTAGTACGCACCCGTCAAATCCGAGCATACCAGTTTGCTTTTATGAGTCAGTGACGGCGGCGGCGAACCGTCATGACTGATTTCCTAACTGCGATATAGCGCGGTTTGTCCCCCTACTCTCATGCATATCGTGAACGCGCCGAGGGCAGAAATGGACCCGGAGTTAAGACTATCTTTGCAAACCGCTAATAATCGAGGTGACATGCAAGGGAACGTCTCCCACGCGTCGTGAAATATATTCATGTTTAGTAGTTTAAGTTACTAAGACGATCACTGATTAGCAGAGAGTATCAGGGATTTATAGTTGACCCAATAAAACGAAACGACTATACAATGCCTTCCTGTATACGTGTTGGCTGTCTGGCTGCGACGAATCTTCTCGTGATCACAATGACCCCCTACTAATCTCTAGTTCCGTAACAATGCTTACCATGGTAACTGATCGACTTTTGTTATTTTTCAGAAGAAGCAAAGCAATTAAGAGAATTTCAAGAACATTCCAGTGGTTGTTGTACTTTGCTCGCACGGATGAAGATGTACACCTAAGCATATGGAGGCAGAAAAATGAGAGCATAAACGTCAAAAACTACTCGACACAGACATCAGGGATCACACGTATTTTGGAACAATACACACTCCTAAACCAACTTCCAAACGTCTCAGATCGACGTACTCATCAGTGTATTCGCATTACGTACAACCACTATGAGTATGGCTGTACAGATGTCAAGCTTGAAATGTAAAATATTTCAGAACAAACCGGCTTCTGCCTGTTGCAATGTAACTGATAACCTAACATGCAAAGATACGAGCAGTTAGCAGCCGATGCCATTATCTGTCCAGCAAAAGCATGTGTCAAAGGGGAGAATAAAAGGATTGGATGGTCATTTTGAAGTACGCGTTGCGTGATTGAACTGAGATGCGCAATCTCAATTACAGATCGTGAATCGCGTTGGAATGAATTTTGATTGAGACGATCACATCTTCCCTATGCTTCATCAGATGCGATCCTAGTGAATGAATTGTTCAAAGTCCACTTCAATGCGAATCATGGTCTACATTAATATTGCGCGTCGCAATCCAATCACACAACGTGTACTACAAACTGACACACCAATCGGACATTAACCGCTGTGCCAAGTGTTGCCCATCGTGACCTGATGGCCAAAATCGCTGAGACTTAGGTTAACAGACAAGTGGTCCCGGGTTTGAGACATGCTATCTACCTTGTTAGCTAAAAGATGGTCGAAACGCGTCATGCAGTCCAGTGCCTTCGAGCGGAAACACCGTTTCATCCAGGCATTTTACTTACCCATTTTAACTACTGTTATGTCCAATGAGTAGTTTGATTCAATAGAGTTCCGGTAAACTTCTATGTACAGACCTAGTTTAGTGGAAGAGTTTTGGAGTGAATTTTCATGTATCAGCCTCACGCAGCCAGACAGTAACTGCAAACTCAGACGTTAGATGCCAGTCTTTTTTTGGAAATGGTCAACATCCAATCGTTCTGTGGAGCAAAATCTCAGGACCCTAGGTTTTTGAGTCAACCGAAAAGACCACGGGGGACAAGCGGCCGCTGCCGTGAGCTAGCAGAGACGCACAGTCATTGTCCAAGTTGGTTTATTATGTCATCGGGCGCAAGCAGTACAGTAAAGGAAGTCGTAGCTCAGGGAGCAAACTCTCCTCTGTGTGCCAGTAAGGTGCAAGGGGAGGAGAAGCGCGCCATACCACAGATAGTCGTATGTTCAAAGCAATTGCTGTTCATCCACGTAGTCAAATGACGTTAACCACGGACTTGTAAGTGTAGGGTCTCCTGTTTTAGCCACGCAGTGGCAAATGGGATGCGCACCTATGACAATTCCAGGAAGGGCGAGACGGTCGTCTCGTAATTTCGGATTAACCGTATTATCTCGAAACCGTGTCTAACTAGGAGTCTAGGAATTGAATAAGAGAGCTGATAGATGGAGAAAGACAGTGCTATTGGGGATGGCTAAATACCACCCCAGTTCATTCAGAATGTGGGTCCAGTTAAGCTCACGATAAACAAAATTGCTCAGAATGCTAGTCGGTTGCTCAGTTCTAAGCTTTATCGATTAGGTCACTAAGCCGAGTGTTTCAAAAGCAGCTCAACAGGTCTGCTGTGATCCCATCGATGTTGCTGAACTACCTTCGCTCGCTTAGAGTGTTGATGTCACACCCACCGCTGCAGACAAGATTCGACGTTACATCACTCAGTTCAAGGGAAAGAAGGCTCATGGACTAGATAACGTACCCCCATCTTTGTTGAAAAATGAAGTCGATTTATTGGCAGATGGTCTGATATATATAGGACACGAAAGATGGGTTTTCAGACTGATGGTTTCCAACTGTCATCCCATTTTCAGAGTGGGCCGCAGGACTTTTTGCACAAATAATCGAGGCAGCCGCCTTATCGTCGCCACCTACAAAATGCGCACGAGTGTTATACGGTGGCAGTCCACCGGGAAGCGTGAGCGTCGAATCAAAAGAGCCAGGCTGACTCCTGTCTATGTTGAAGATGCGTTAACTATAGTGATATATCACAGTAATTTCATTCAGTTGAAAGCCACATTAGAGTGAAATGATCGTGATAGAGAAGTGCCATCCCATTTTAGGGTCATTGTACCGCGAATCTCAAAACCGAGTACACGGATCAATCGGAAGCTATCTCCTGAGTGGGACTCATCAAAATCGGCCCATGTTCCAGTTTCCCTTCGATTTCGCGATCGATATGAACAATATAAAGCGTTTTGCATTATCAGTGGAAACTATGCCGAATGGCAGCTCGCATTCAAGTTCATCATCTGTCACTGAGATGAGGGATGCGCGACCCAGCACGTAGGCATAGCAATCAAGTGGAAAGTAAAAATCCGAGGTCATCACGAAACGTTGAACGAAAGCCAAAAATTGAAACGAAGTGTGGACCACAGAGTATGAGCTTGCAAATGAAAAGCCTGGCGGAGAAAAAACCAACGAAGTCTGCAACGACTGTCAAAAGCGACGTGTTTTTTGTTGGACAAGTACCTTCGTGTGGAATTTATAGATGCAAAGTGCGCGGGGATGGACATCAAGTAAGGGGTTTGATTTCCGCCAAGTTCATATAAACAGTATAACCCACTAAAAACCAAAGCTTAACCCTTGTGTCCTGGCGGTGCTTATAAGTACCACTCTATATAAATTGTAATACTGCTCCAATGCAAGTGTCATTCCTGTCCGTACTCGCGAGGATACGTACAATAGCCTTCTGTCAACAAGTAAGTAAGGGCCAGAACTCCGATACTTTGCTCTGTAGTGTGTAGATGAACATTTTGAGGTTCATGTCGAGATATAGGTAAATTAATGCAGGACTCAAAGGGTTACATGAGTATTGCCTCGGTAGTCTGGTCACTGGACAAAGAGACGAGTAGTAAGTAATGACGAGGGTTGTCGAGCGCTTATTTACGTAGTATGAAGATCGATGAAGCAGTACTTGCCGCATTCGCTGAAAAATAAGAGTAGCAAGAGTTCCTGATGCTACGATGCAAAATAGATCCATTTAATATCCCTTAGTGCGGTCGAAATCACCCACCACCAGATGGTAGTTGGCTGTTCAAATCAGTTAGTTGAACAGTTACGATCCAGTCAGTAAAGTGCGGTGGATCCAGCAGTTGCCACGACAGACGATAGTACGAAAACGAGACTGAACGCAAATAAAAGAAAACAAAGAAAATTGAAGTAAGAAAGAAGCAGGTTAAAAACGAATGAGGGTGGAATAAAAATCGACAGCCAAATGCAAGAAACAGAATGCACAGAAGCATCATGACTGTGAGATTGCCCCATCCCCCAAAACAGAGTCTCCAACTATTGAAGTGGACCATCTCAAAAACCCTACCCAGACTGACCAACTCCCTTGGTCAATTTTTTCGTTCCCTGTTACACCACGTCATCCAGTGGCCACCTCCCGATCCAGCGCCCAACTTGGTGCAGTGACAGCCTACAATGCATGTCTGTGGAAAGCGGTAGTGGATATAAGGAAGACACGAACTAACGAACGTAAGCGATTGAGCTCTAGCAAACATTCAAGTGAGGTACTAGGCTTCTTGTCGTAAACGAACTGACGGACCTAAGCATTGCTAGTTCGGTGCGCCCACCAGTTGTGAGTAATACACCGTAAGCATTGCTGATCAACCAAAGGGCAAGCGTTTAATGTCATCACTGCAAAATGGCCCCCTGCTTGGTCACTACAGTAACACCGGCATTATCATCTTACCTTTCAGTGACAAGCGGATATCCCGCCGTTTCCTTGAAGCGCCACAGTTTGCACAACATGGACGAAAAAATGCACAACCTGCTTGGAGTACTTTCAGAACATCGATACATGACTAGAATTGCGAATAGATAGGGCACAACCATCGGATAGAACTGCAACAACTTTGGCAATCGATTGAAGCACGTAAGTCAAGGAAATCTGTGATAAACGATTAGCCTAAGGAACAAAACCCCGCCCTTACGACCAAGGGGGCGAGTTAAATCGAGTAGAGTGTGTCCAAGCAGATACACTTCACTATCCGTAATACCTGGTTCCTTGCTACAAACGCAGTTTCCTGACTACACCGTTGCTATGCTCAGACTGCAAACGGAAAAGCTCTTAGCCTGTAGCTGAAGAGAGCCTAGCGCAACCAAGTGGCATGATTCTTATGCCGACGGTAAAAAATATGAGTGGGGAAGTGGCAACGAGCTCTTTTTTTGAAGGAACGCATGTGATGATAAACACTTGAAACTACACGCCAGTAGTGATCGATGCGCACAAAGCATTTTCCTTGTAATCCGAATCTACATGGGCGCTGGCGATCTCGCAATACCCGAAGTCCGCGTGCGACTGGTGGTGACCGTGAAGTGTCCATAGAAGATACCGGCCAATTGATCATGCCCCCAAGTTAAAGTAGTACAGAAAAGTGGATGTCTGCTCATTGTTATATTTGGTCAACCTTTACAGACATCATGTAGCGACGGTAAAGGAACGTTACGCAGGTGAACTAGTTGAAACGCATCCAGAATAAGGGGCAAAAATGACAAATAATCAGTGGGAAACGAGTTATAGAATCATCCGTAGGAAGAGTAGTAGCGTGTTTGAAGAAGGGAAGACTCTCATGAAAACCGATGACCCGGACAAGGTGGAGTTGGGGGATCACTCAGAGGTTCATTAGGCGATTTGGCCTAGAATAAAAAATAACCTGCAGCATAACTTACGTTGATAGAGAGCGCGTGCAATCCAGATGAAAACGCGTTCTTTAGTGTCTCAAAGATCAAACGGTGACGCTGACAATAATGAATAGAAGTGGTGAAGGCGGAAACTTACTTTAAGCGAGGAGAGGCCGTCAAACTCCTTGGAGACTATCGTTAACCTGAAGTGGGTTTGAGCACCTTCATCGAACTGATAAGAAAGTTGAAGGCATACCTGTGCTACCACTATGCTTCTTGCTTTCGTTGACAATTTTCAAATAAATGGGCTAAGAAGCAAATATACAAAAGTAAAACGCAATACCTTGAAACGTTCGTTTAACGCAGAAACAACACTATTTTCCACACCGGAAGACAGCCAACGTTTCATCGAATTTGCCGAAGTCCGTACAACCATGTCCAAGTGAAATTGGGGTAACGAAGACAGGTGAATCGTTTAAGTGTTCCTTTCCGAGTGCGTCGTCAGGACATGAATCAGCAAGTCTAAAACAAAGCATTCAAACAACAGGCAGATCAGTTCATGTTCAAGCAAGGTGCATTTGGGGGGGGGGCGGTTTGTTGTATTATTTATGTGAAATCAAGAGTGAAGGGTGGAAAACAGAAAACGAAAGTAGTATATATTTGCAGTAGTCTACAAATAGACATAGAGCTATCGGAAACCATGGGACTCAAAAGAAGGTACAGTAATAGAAAAAGAAAAGACATCAAAGCCCATGGTTTCGTCAGAGGGCGAGATACTATCCGGTTGCCAAAGCCGAAGTAGGGTGTTGACTTAGGGGACACCACGCCGAGCCTGCCCGCAAGGAGGCGGAGCAAATTCAGGGAATCGCGCCCATTGGGGGCCCGTGACTGATTGCTCAGTTCATAGGTCTTTCGTTTGTTCGCTTGTCAAACAGGGAGCCCAATGCTCCCCAGAATTGCAGCATAAATTTGCTGGAATACAATGCGTCGCCAGGAAGAAGCAAGGAGCAGTAACTTTATTCAGTGGCGAGTCACGTCCGCCACGTCACAGTGTTGTTAAACGGACATCTGTGGCTTTTTATAGGGAGAATGCTTGCCAAGCGATAACCCACCAAGTCCTGTAACATTGCCGCCGAACCATTTGCTGGAACGGGAAAATCCCGAAGCACCCAGCTGGCATCACGAAGAGGTTGTTCGACAAGCCAGCAGTCATCCAGATAAGCGCGGAGCAACACATAGAAGAACAGTGCAGTGAAAGAGCTAGGTTGATCTCCAGATAGCCATCTAACTCGCGCGTCCATACGCTGAGCGGCAAATAATCTCGACAACTGTCAAGTCAGGAAGGTAAAAGGGAGGTGTAAGGGTGCATAATTCAAGCGTTCCTGTTAAAGGCTCAACAAAGCCATCCACAGATGAACAAACCATTCTTTTCTAAGATAAGCTCCAGGAATCTTAAACCATGCAAATAACCAGTATAAGTTCTAAATCGGTACGGTTGCCGAACTACGTCTTCGTGGTGCTAGCTAAGTGGTTTGGATTTGTCCCGTTCCAGGATGTGGTGGGGTTTCTCCTAACAAGTGTTGCTTAAAGCTCATTTTGAACCGTCTGGCGATTGTAGCCTCTAGATATGGCATGGGCTTTTCTCCCTTTAAGTGTGAAATGCCGCCTAAGGACTGGGAGTCATCTGCCCCCCTCACTTACCATTGAAAGAACACAGATACAGTTTGTGGACAACATTATCTACCTTGGAAGCTGTATTTTTGCTGATGGAACTCTTGAGAAGATGTTTCATCGCATCGCCAAAGCCCAGTCGGCATGTAGCAATATGAGTCCTTTGTGGTGTCGTCGGGATATATCCCTCTCCTTAAAGACGAGGGTCTACAGAGCTTGCATCCGCGCGGTCCTGTTTTAGAGAAGTGAGCCCTGGCCGATTGGTGTGGACAACATGTATTCGATACTACATGTTTGAGGAGCAAAATCCGTGCGTGGTGGCAGCACCGGGTTTGCAACCATGAAGTCCGGCGTCGCAACTAGGGAAACATGAACCTTCCATTGAATCGACTTGCTGCGATGCACCAATTGAGGTAGCTTGGCCACGTCCGACGCATGTCATGCGAACGATTATCACGCCACGTCCTATTTGCTTGCACGGGATTGAACTAGAAGAGAACGCTTGGAGGTCTGCCAACAACTGGGCGACAAAGCATGAAATTGCTGACTTCCTGTCTCGCCATCGTCGGCCCTGCAAGTTCCCCTGGTTGGGGGGCAAAGGATGAGGATTGTCAATGGTTCGACACACTTGCTGATATGGCGTGAATACGAAATCAATGGGATGACTGTATATTCAAATGTTTCGAACAATGTGGTTTAAGGATATAACACACAAAACGACAAAAAAGAACGAAATGGCGTGTGAAAACAAAAAAACAACAAAAAGCAAAGTAGAAGAGTAGTAGGGGGAGTCAAATGTTATAGGTAGAAATTCGTCACATCGAGACTCAGTCAGACAGCCGTCACACGTCCGGAGGTGGCTGGACCGTAGCCCGCTCCACGCTGAGTGCATGGAACCACTTTTCGAGCCTAGCACTGTAACAAGGACCGTGCACCCCGTCCCCTCCAGCAAGGACCAACTGTCTCCTGGAGCCAGTATGGACGAGGTAGTGGGTAATAAACAGGTAGGCACCTTGTCAACATGCACATCAATCGCAGCCACACCGGGGATATCACGCAACAGCCAATCACTTGAAACGACAAGATGAAATAAAATAAATCCAATAATGCATACAGATACGGTGACATAACTCTTCGCTAAATTAGCATATGAAGTAAGTTGGTTAGCAACGAATCCGCGATAAGGAAAAATGTCCACAAGTTACTTAAAAATGCTACAAACGCAACAAAGTTACCGAAGATAAGCGCAATTTGCGTAAGCAACGTGGCCAGTTAATAGAAAATTATCCAGATAGGCAGAACAAACCAAATAAAGTGGAATGAAATTTAGCCAGCTTAAAAAGACCTAGCTTATATATATATATATATATATATATATATATACGCTGTTTATTATGGGTGATGTTTATTGTTTTCGTTGCAAAATGGTTGATAATCCCTGACATATAAGCAAAATTCCTACAATTAGTTTTACACTAGATCTGATTTATCATGCACTTCTTCTGCTCTATTCCGTCATTCTGTCTCACTTTAACTGTCCAGGTTGCGTATTAATTATCCTTCATGTCCTGTGATTGCTCTTTGGCATCCCCGGTGCTGTTGCGCTTATCGTCATTCTCATTATCATCAACACGCGTTAGTGGTGGGTCAAAAACACACATCAGCTAACGTGCCGCAATACAAAAAAAGAAAAGATACAAAGTATGACAGACAACAAAGACATCGAATAACGAGTAATATAATGGTAAATACCATGTTATGCATTTGGTGTGAGATCATAATTGGGTAGATGAGAAAGAAGACAAGGGTATGGAGAAACTCACAGCACATGTGCCACTGAAGTCAGCTCTTCGTCATGTCAACTAGTGTATCCAAACAAGCGGGTTCGTCGTCACTGGGACTACAGCTAGACGGTCGAAATGCACCAACTGACGCGAAATTCGAAGTGAGGGACTTCATTCGTTTCGACCAAGCCACCACTTGGCCACCTCTCCTCTTCTTCCACCCACACCCGTGGCGAGCAAACAAGACACGTCGCGGGAGTCGGTGTGTTGGCATGCGCAACATGTGGCACATGCATCAAAGCCCAGTGAGTGATATGAAGATGCTGAACGGTTCACCCGCTTTCCCTGCACCAAACACATGACGAACGCGGTCATTGCTCACTTGAGGTTCCACCAGACATGAGATAAGGTGCGAAGGCGGCGAGGGTCGAATGCAACAAGCCTCTTTATGTTTGTCCATCCAATAGGACAGTTTTCGTAACTGTATAGTAGGGTTGAACGGACGACTGCATTGTAAACTCTGCCCTTCAAGGCGAGAGCGATGTAGCATCAGAGCCATAGGTGCAGGAGATTGGCAAAAGCACCTCGAGCTTTGCTATGCGGTTCGTGACCACTTCTTCGATACCACGGGTTGTAATATAGCGGCTAGGTACTTGAACACTTGAACGACTTCTAGTTGATCGCAACCCAGGTTCAGCGCAGGGGTGGGTCCCTGACAATATTGGAAGACTTAGCATTTCGTGGGAGCTCCTCACGAACCTGACTTTCACGAGTACCAGCCAATCTGTGGAGAACGAAAGAGGCAAGCAATTTAAAGGCAACTGAGATCTAACTGACCCCTCTATGACCCTTGAATCTCGAACGGGACTCTTAAAAATTTGTACTGACGTAGCGGCTTCAGTCTGTTGGGACAGACTCCTGCTTCCACGGTTTCAATCGTGTAAATGATATACAAGATCAGGTCTTCCGACATTAAAAAGCGTTGGGAGAATTCCATCTGCTCCTGCGGCCTTATTCCGCTTCAACAGTTCGATCTCATCTTAGACTTTTGTGCATGAGAGCGGATTCAAAGAGACGGCACAGGGAGAAAATCAACCAATGCCCAAAAAAGAAACTGATAACTCAGGCAGTGTTCGGCCCAACCCTCCAAGCGTTTTGACAACCTGTAGATCGTCTGTCCACTCTCGTCGCGTAAGGTCTCCCTAACACCGCCGGCCCGTAGTCTAAAGGTTACGGGCTTGTAATCTTGCGGTGCGGGTACGAGCCTGCTTAATGAAAGAGCGACCCTCGCAGTGTCCTTGGCCCACGTGCGACCGGTGGTGGTTGAGAGGCAGTGAAGCGTCGGTAATGCGTACCGGCGTAGTCCTGATATCAGACGCTATAATACAAGGTCTGCTGCTGTCTGTTTCCCGTATCAGACAGAATAACTTTCGCTAGTTACTAACGGCAGCGGCCGTTTATATCTCAGAGCCACGGTGAAACCACCAGGCTTCGCGGTTTTTCTTTAGGTTAGCACGAAATTTTGCCCTCAGATTTCTGCGAGTTTCATTGTGTTCGCTTCAAGCCGGAATGCGTCGGCGAGCATCCAAAAATTCTATAGATTGTGTGGAACCCAATGTCCAGATTGGCAGTTTGATTTGCCATATGAAGACGTGACTGCTGCAAATAACGTCTGGCGAATATGCGACCAATGATGTTCTAAGGTGTTCATTGGACGCTTACCCTTACCGAATGTCAGCGCAGTTTGACACGAATACAGAACACTTGGGCTTCGCCAGTTGGTTTGTGTCTATGCACTCACAGCGCCGTCGCAAACGTCCGCCGAAGCGCACTTGAAAATCGGCACACACAAAAGTGTGATCCGAGTCTATGCTCGTGTTACAAATCGAGCGACAGTTTTGGACAGAGCCTCTCCAGCGGTAACTGATCGCAATGTGATCGATTTGCGTCCATGGCTAGTACGCGCCTAGTCAAATTTCTGCATGTGCTGTGTTGAAAGCTAGTGCTCGCGTATTAAGCGTTCACCGTTATCGTTGCGGGAGCCTACACCAAGTTGGCCGCCCAGATG